ACGATGCAGATTGTAATAACGTTGGAGAAACAGGCTGCAAATTGCAGGACCGCCTGCACGAGCACAAACTAGTGGCTCGGAGACTGGACCCAAACTCGCAACTTGCAGCACACATCGCAGAGACTGGCCACGACTTTGATCTTCAAGGAGCAACTGTCATAGGCCGAGGAACCTCAGAAGCCGAAAGGCTGACGCCTCAGGCATGGTACGCAGATGCCAACACTGTCAACAGGCATCTAGACCTGCCCGCGGACTAAAAAGTCTTGAGCCATTGTGGGAAAAAAGGACAGAACAAGGCCAGGCCGAACGTAAGAATGGCAAGCGAAGAGGAACCTACGACGAACCGGCCGGAAGAGGAGGCAAGGTTACCAGGACCTTCTACCGTGGGGACAAGACCCCACATTAATCGCTGTCGATCACTCCCGACTCCACTCGCAGCTTAGTAGCGTACCCCACTATAGTCCCCCATCCTTCTTGAGTGCTCTTTCCAACACCTTGACAAACTGTGGACTTCTACGGCCAATATAATAATCCTCCGTTTCGTTGCTACTTCTCACCTCTGAAGATGAACGCATGTAAGAGTTCGAAAGCTCAGGACGGTAAAGTAATTTATCCGGTCCTCGAATCGTCTTCATCCTTGTCTATCATATATTCAGGGACGCAACTGTTTCTGTCACCTTTCGATTTTTAATGACTACAATATCGATATTTCCGTTTGCATATCCGATTCCATTAAACACGTGTAACCACTCGAAGTTCTGGCACGTTTTATAACCCCCTCCCCCGCCTTTGTTAGATGTAAAATAGATTTTCCGACGTACTTTTCGGAACATGTAGCATACCATTTGAAATGCAGGCCGGTTTGATCGCTTGTGCGTGCATCTTCCTCTGGAGCTCAAATCATTTGAATAATTCATCAGTTACTCTTGGATAAGGCAACTGCCTCAGTATCCTTATTAGCAAGGTTCCTACCAATGACGATAACGTTTATAAAAACTTAATCACATACTGAAAAAAACGCTTTTTTGCCAATAGCAAAAAACAAGATAAAAGTGCAAACTTGTCATCTACGAACTGCAGGTACTATGAATCCGGATTCGTAGGTGCATTAGTAGACGAACTTGTTAGCTCGTTCCATCGGAGTGACGTTATCCCCTTACCATATGGCGGATCGACTCGGGCTATTGGTTGTTTTCAGGGAGGCGAAGGAGTTACCTTAAGTAAAGGGAACCCTAAATCACTGTCTCTATTGCCTGTTTCTCGTTAGGAACAAGTTTTCGCGCTGAACTTTACCATATTGCGCTAAAAGTCATAGTTTTGGCTCCTGTCAACCGACAGGATACTTTTATGTCCCTCTCAGGGCACTAAAATAGGCTGAACTGATGCCTCCTGTCGTTGTTTTGATACTGAGCCACCCATTTTGCATTTCTGTGCAAACTTGATCCATGGTGTGCAGGTCAGGCGTTTGAGATAAGTGTCCACACGCCGTTTGGGCCTTTCTCTTAGTAACGTTGTCTGGGTGTCGGGTTCGGGTGGATTAGGGAAGACGGGGTGCCGTGGATGAAGTTAAGGACTTTTGCTACTATAAACAAATTTACACGACGGCACGCACACATTATAATTTGGGATGGAAAGACTTTTAGCCTTTATGCATAAAGATATCTCGTTAAGGCATAAACTTAATGAGTAAATTAATTTTTTATTGTAATCCTTTACTAGAACACACGCCTTACTTTCGGATACAATATCTAATTTCATGGAAACATAAAAATCAACCAAATCGAAGACTATTGAAAGCCATTCTACTACCACTAAGAATGACAGCTAAACCCGGGTTCCCTTTTTTAATGAATGCTTGTTGGGCATATTTTTAGAGGAAGTCGTCTTATAATATAAATATTTAAGAGTTCTGTATTTCAAACAAAAGCATTTATATTTGGATGTTCACAAAGATTCAACATTGCCTGAAATTTAACATCTTTAGATTTTTTTCTGGTGACCTTATAGGATCCTTCTGGTGCCCTTGAGATGTTGCCATATACGTGAATAACTGCCGCAAAGTATTTGAGCTACTTTTTATCTAACACCACTACGGACTATGTTCGGAACTATAAGGTATGTAAAAAATTAACTTTTGTTATTAGGGGCAGATCTGCGAAATTCGTCTTCTATATTTAAGGGTTTGTAGATAACTACCCAATAAACCCATTGGAGATTTGTTTACAAATAACTGTCAAAAAGCTCATTTGGTTAAATTTTAGCCATTGTGTCTTATTTTAATGTTGTTACTTTTTGAACAAAAATCGAAATGAAAAGTAGTTGTGTGGAACGCTGCGTATAATTCAAATAGCCAGAAACTTTTTTCGTCATGAGTGACTTCTTGAGAAACATTTGTGGCATGTGGTTGTAAAACATTCGGAAACGTGACCAAAGAGACACCTTTAATCTCTCGCATAGGATGTGTCCTTTAAAAGTGCATTCGCATGCTATTTTAAGCCGGCTGTCTTTGATATTCGCCAATTGTCGAGCTCACGAACCAACAATATCTAATGATTTATTGTCCTTGTTGTATGCGCTCTTGGATAAATGCTAATTATATGGTTGATAGCTTGGTTATTTTTTTCTATTTGAAGGGATATTAAGAGGTAGATCTCAATGCAACTTCCTCTGAAGGTGCTTAAGTAAATATTAAACGTAATGGTCCATTAATTAAACTAATAGATATCCTTCAATTTTTTTCTACATTAAGTACGTAGTTAGTATTTCAATTGATGTGATTTTTAAACCGATTAGAACTTTACGCCTATGACATAACTTCGTATTTTTGATGTTATACATAGGTGTTCTTCAGAGCTAATCAAGGTCAAGTCCTGTAAGCACAAAGCGTGTTTGAAATGGGCATAACTGTCGTTTTGTCTACATGTTCATCACATAAACTAACAGGTGATTTATATATTTTAGTTACCACTTCTTAATAAACTGTGTAAGGTATACCTTTCATTTTGGCGTTATCAATCTTAACACATGCCAAATCAGAAAAAACGAGGATGGTGGTTATTGCGATTTAAAGCCCGACAACGGGTTACAGTGCTTACATAAAAGATAGGAATGCATTTAAAAATATAGTCATTGATTTAAATGATGTCAGAAGTTATTTCGCGATTACTCTACAGCACAACGGTGATATGGAAAAAATGCCCGGGCGATAAAGATCTATAGAATCCCGCCATTTGTCTAGATTTGGTTTAAAATGGAACGTCTAATTAGTGGATTATTGATCAGAATTCAACAAACATGTTTTATGACACGGAAACCGGAAGAAGAAAATTTTTACAACACTGTGAATTAGAAGAGGTTCCTAAAATTGAGCCTGTTCATACTTTTAATTCCTAATTTTAACAGAAGATTTTCATCCCGAAGTGTATAAGCAGGATATTCACAATAAGAGCAGTAAGCTTTCGACCGCAAATCAGCGTAGCAAGACAAAGACGTAACAATTGGAAACGTTTTCAACTGAGGCCTACAAACTCCATAAATTGTAGCCTTAGAAGAATGTTATTTTATCAAAGGAAAAAGGTGAGTTTTTTTAAGACTGACGTTACTTGCTTGCTTTACGCCAATTCTACAAAGCTTTTTCTTTAGTATTTGTGAATTATTTTCCATTTGCATAATCATAATATTGGACTCAAATATGTGAATGCAAAGTTTTTTTTGCATAAATGATGAATGCCCTATTGCGAAACAATTGCAGGACAGGCAAGTTGATTTAAAGAACGCCGCTGGTTTTTCCATTATCCAGTCTACTTGTCAAACGCGTCCCGTGGGAGACAAAAGTCACTTTCAGACATTATCAGTCTATGTTTTCGCCCAAATTAGTGGACGACACGTGCACTATAATTGCAAAAGACAGACCATCAGACTTTCAAGACGTACTAACGGTGCCGCAGCTTCATTCAGTTAATAAGGGGAATAAAATAACACATAAATTTTCTCTACTTCAAAGCAGTCGAAACCAGACACGCGTTCTGTTTTTTTTCTTCCACAGAATGGAACAGTTACTAGCGTTTTAGCTCATCCCTTGTCATCCGGCTTTCCTCGAAGATACTACAGTTTTTACATTATGTTCTTACATTTCCCTCCGGATTTAGTCATTGACGTGGAATAAATTATATGAAATCAGGTTTTTTAGGTTCAGAATAAAAGACGATCGGAATATTTGGGCCAACGAAGATAATACCGAGTAGCTGCCTTTCCTTAACGTCATTGGCACTATCAGA